TGACCAACCTGGTATGAGAGACTCTGTGAGTGTCGCGGGACACTCTCCAGTATAGCTCAATGGATCGCTGAGGTGCGCAAACCGTCGCACCACGGTAAGGTCCAGTCTCTTCGTGACGGGATCAGGCAGTATAGATAAGGTAGTTAGCCTGTGGGTAACGTATAAGTTAACTGCACAACACTATGGGATTTCATGACTGACTTGGATGAATCAAGTCGGTTTCACCCGGTCGACTTGTCTAGATTCGTTTTGCTACATTCCAGCTTCCCATCATCCTTACAGTCCGCTGTATTTCGAAATTAAAGAGTTAAGAACGGTCAACTATTTCCTGAAAGCTTTCTCGATTTGTTTTTGCCTTCTGTATTGTATCCGTTCCATAAATTTGTGCTTCCTCTAATTTGTTTTCTCTGTCCCAACTCGTTTCAGTACTCAGGTGGTGATCAATGCTGGCATTTATTACATGCATCATTTTTACGAGGTGTTTTCCCCGGAAACCATCAAGCCGATTTTGGTCGCGATTGCTGCTTTCTACTGTGCTTGCAAAACCGAGGACTTCTCCCGGAAACTAGCATTTCTTATCAAGGCCACTTATGAGATATTGAAGCGCCCTGTACCCAACGAAGCCTCAGACACATTCAAGCGGCTAGTGCAGAATATCCACGCACTTGAGGCCACCATCCTTATGGTGATTGGGTTTCAAACACTGGAGGTTAAACAGCCCCATGTGTTGCTAATAAATGCAATACGTGCAAACAAATTCCCCAAGGAAATCTCTCACACAAGCTATTACATTTGTACCAACATACTTCACCTGACCACATTAATACTTCGACATTCCGCGGAGGCTATTGCGGCGGCCAGTTTATACATCGCCGCCAAATGGAATTCCTCGGATATCCAGTCACCAAACGGAGAGTGGTACCACATCTTCTCACCCAACCTGACTTTCGATGAAATCTCGAAAATCACGGAGGAATTCACACTAGCATTTCAAGCTTGTGACTTGAAAATTAAGGAGCAGTTGCGCACAACTCTTCGCGTAAGTCACTCAGTGTATATAGTTGATCCTATCCATAATTTTTCTCTCCAGTCTCGCAAGTTACAACGCGAGCAAAAAGAGCAGCCTGTGGTAGATATGCGCAACCAAGAACTACAGAAGAAGCCACTTGCCGACACTACACAACCGGCGAAGCCAGATTCTTGGAAGGTCAGTGTACTGCATCCTTTAGTCTATTTACCAATTCCGGATTGGTTGACCGTTGTCATTTCTGAGACTTTGACACGCCTTCTTAGATCGAAACGAACTTGTTTTTGCCTGTTTTTCACTGACCCGCTCGAAACGGCTTTGGAGTTTAGATGTGAGTTACTCGCGGTGGTTAAATTTTGATCATTACCGGGCAGGCTAGGTCAAAAATTCTGGTGTTGTTAGAGTTTCTCGCCAACATGTACGGACCATAGATTATCGATGGTGAATCGGCTCTTATGACACTATTCTTTTCTCCAAAAAATGAGGTCGTTCTGTGTCGTGTGTAATACGATTATTAACTCAGGAGAACATGCATACAAGTTGCGTAGTTTCTGAACCTCTTCGAGTTTTTTCGTGACTAGCAGCGTTGGAAGGCACCACCAGCTTCGTGTGAGAGAGAACCATCTTTCTCAGTAGTGTTCTTTCCACAGATTTCACCAAATTGTCTAACGGATTTATTTCCCCTTTGTAAATTTTCTCTGGCGCCGACAGTTAAGCGAACTCCCAACTTCATGTCACGTTTCTGGAACTTCGTTTTGCAAACCCTTGAAGGGCAGGTCTTAATGTTAGGCAACAAGAAAGTGCCGTACTACGGTTTTTAGTTGTCGTAACTGGACATTTTTAATGAAGGTCATCGCCTTGGAATTGTTTGAGCTGGAGACCTGTGAGTTGGGTGGTGGTGCTTCTTATAATGACAGCATTAACTATTCCTTTCCGCATACCTGACTGACAAAACTAACTATAAAAAAACTGTTCAGCTGTAACACCCCTTCGGTGCCTAGCTGCTATGCCACCTGAGGGGCTAGAATGCTGGCAGGTTGCCAAAGCTCTAATCACTTGAGTCATCTACCCCCCCCCCATTTACCTGACTGACATTCCTCAGTTTATTCTCTCGTTTTGTTCATTTATTCGAATCCAAAACGTGGTTTTGTGCTCCCTCTGGACGTTCCAACGATTTTGATCCTTCATCCCACTGTGCTATATTTCGTGGTTCACTTCCGGATTCCAGGAGTGCTACTTGTGTGAGCTTGGGATGGATGAAAAAATTCTTCAACTTCGGCACCTTTTCTGATTTACAGCCGCCACCCATCTGAGGCCTAAAGTACTGTCAGGTTATTCAATCCCATAGAAGAACACTATGGGACCGTGGACCCTAACCTCTGAGCTACCCAAAGCTCTTATGACCCTTGGTGCTTAAAAACAAGCATTCCCTAGTCCTGCTGACCTCTACTTCCAGCTTTCAGATGCTAGCTTCTTTTTTTTCATTCCAACGTCTGTTCAACTTCTCAACCGTTCAGGCAGAAAAACGCCCGTACAACCAACCTGCTGGCCAGAACTTACCCCAATCTGCTCCTCACCATCAAACCAGTATGCAACATCATCAGTCAAGGTCTCATCAATCCTTAGCTTCTCAAAGTGGGTGTGGACCAGGTGGAGGTCAGAACTACCCGTATCATGCACACCATCGCCCACCTCCATCCTCGCATCAACCACAGCCTCACGGAGGACATGTTGGTGGTGCTGGGGACCATTTCAACCGTTCCCATCTCAATCGGCCGCAGTCATCAAATGTAATGATGGAGCCGGATTCCAAACGGGCACGTTTTGATCGCTCATACTCCACCTCAGGACGTCACTCTCCGGTCGCTGCACATCATGCGGAGGGATCGAATCGAGTGAGTGTTTGCCTATCTGAATCTTACCACTTTCTATCCATATTAATGTCCCTACCTCTCTCTAGTGTCACCATTCTGTTACACTTCCTGTCTGTGTGACAAAGGTGGACTAATCAAGACATCTCACCGTAACCATCAGAATTGTGGGTAGCAGTGCACCAGTGATTAGCTGTCACTTATGGCGAAGGGCACCTAAGGAGCTTTGGGTTTATAACACCAAATTAGCGACGCCATTTCACAGCAGTTGTCATAGTTAAAGGTATACCAATATGCCGAACACCGTTATTTTCCCTTTAAATGCCTCTAGCGAATTTTTACAGCAATTTTCCTCCGCTCAGTTCTGTTAGCTGGTTGAACATAGTTAAACCGTCTTTTTTTTTTGAAATACCTTGTAGCGATTATGAAACTGACTTCAAAGACGCACATTTTCCTTCGGCATCCTTAATCTTCAGATTATTGCTTGTGCACGCTAATCGCCCACATCAGCTTGCCCACCTCACCGGAAATTTTTCCGAAATTTGCTTGGTTGTCTACCCTTAGCTGCTCAATTTTTGTTTCAAATCGTGCAATAACTAGACTGTTCTCTGTGTTGCGCCCAGCCATACTGCGATCAATGTCAGACTGAATAGATCGCTCGTATTATACACGCTCTTTACCCACCTATTTCACCGGATACTGGATTTTAACCCTTCCCCCTTCCCATGCCTCGGTTGGGCACTCGTAACCACCGGGCGAATTTCGTTTTGCTACTTTTCGCTCTCTTATTTTGGCCTTGGTTGGAACTTTTGAGTACAATATTGCATGCTGCTGTCTATGAGGAACTGCCATATCAGAAGGTTTCTCCAGATACTTCATAACCCGGTAAACAGCACTTGTCAACCTTCATTGGTGATATAATTCTGGTTCCCATCGCCCGACATACCGTCACCTCCCACAACCATTTTACTACCCTGGTTGGAAGATCGCGAAAATGTTTCCTGTGAAACCTGCCTTTCCGACCTCCAGAGAGAGGATGATTCACCCACAGACATTCGCATGTTTGCCAGGCGTGAATGTGGCTCACTACTAGATGCATTGCTACTTGCCTTGTGTGCTTACTTCAGTGGACTGGAATGTGGCAAGCTGAAACTGAAAATGTGAGTACCCAAGGCCCCGAAACTTGAAGCGACAACAGCAACAAAGTGGGAGGGGAAAGTAACTTCCACAGATGATCCCACAGTTATCGCTTGGCAAATGCTGATGACGTTAGACCTGAGATGAATCGACCGTTAGCTAAAAACATAAGTATTTCAAACTTGTTGTCGGTATTTCTTAGGTCATTTATACCCCATTTCTGCCCTAGCCTCCGATGAATCCATTGGCTAAGTTCCTTTCTTCTTCAGCAACCCACTACATAGACCTTCTTCGTTTTCCCAATTCTGGTTTCCTGTCAAAGTTGATTATCACTGACTAGAAACCATTACAGTGCGAAAAACATCAGTGGTAGGATCAGTCGCACCCTGTCGGTTTCCTACTACCACCCTGAAGTTCTCACCGTCACTTCATACCAGCAATCGGAATACTGTATAGGACAGATAACTCGACAGCAACTTGACTATGAATCTGGGGAGGCGGCACAATTCAGAGAATAGTCACGTGACTCTGTCTCAACCATAGCAAGTGAGCTAGCCCAATGTATGTGTGCAGAAACTACGTTAAAGGTGGCAGTCAGATTTGTTACTACCTGTTGCTTTTGTTCGAATCTCTGAACCACACCCCTATCCAAAAACGAAAACACTTACCCCTTTCGAGTAAACAGCTGTTGCGGCACAATGTTTCTATGTTAAGGTCCCATCAAGGACCGTAGAGTCCAAGCTTTATAGTTTTCAGTCGTAGTTGTGACGCCAAACGACCGATATTCTTACTGCTCCTGCTGCAGTACTCCACTACATCAGCGAGCTCCTCTGGACTGTTTCGGTAGTTTGGCCCAGGCTAGGTCCGCGCCGTAGCATTTTGGAGATCACACACAGGTTGTCTTATTGGGGATCGAGATCAATGAAGCAGGAAGTATTCGGAGGCAGTGTGCGACAACTCGGTGTTTGTCGATCTATCCAAAATTACGGGGTTTTCTTATTGTTAAACTATCTTGATCAGGTGTCATTCCGAATTACTCGTCATATTCGTGCACCGGTATACTACTGTCTCCCAGAAGATGAAACAAGTTGTCGTGTTTCGAAGTTATTTTCTTTACGGTTTGTGTCCGCTCCCAGCTTCCAATAACAGTGAACTGCTCACTTTGATGTAGGGACGTTTTATTTGAGTATTATAGCTTCCGATAAAAATGGTGGAGTTTTGTTGCTGGTTTAAAGTTGCTTTCTAGTATGGATGGTTGATTCTCCCTAGTGGCTTTCAGCGGGTTATACTGTCATCTGCATGTGTATTCAACTCTGGAAATGTTGAGTTTCGAACACTGGCCTTGGAATGTTGAAACTGTGGAAAACGGGAGTATCCCAGCTATTCACCTTGAACGTCGCTCGTGGTTACGAGACGATCGACTCAATGGCCATCCCGACTCCATTCAACACGACCGAGTACAGCTTCAGTCCTATTTTCTGTTCCGATCGATTCAACGGAACGGGCATTCAAGTAGGGAAATGGTTATGAATACCGCCATCTTGACGATATGGTCGATTTCTTACTTTCCGGACCGAATTCTTGCAACGCTAATTGCACTACCTGAACCACGTGTGCTTATGATACATATCTCCGCTGAATAATGTGCCAATTATAGAGGCGCGATATTTGGAGCAGTTTTTGACACGTTTTTCATGCGTCACTTTACGTGAACTGTGCAACTGGATACTGCAGGTGTTCTCATTTCGAGTGCGCCTGACCTGTTATTACCTATTCTTGGGTTAGCACCTTGAGGTGACAAAGTACTTTTGATGGACGAAAAATGTTTCTCTGTGTACCCAGTTTAATAAAAATCATATTGCCCAGACGATCACCAATTGTTTGCCAGACAGACTTCACTTTTACTTCCGATATATTTCTTCAGAACCGATGAGTTCGGTGTTTTCTGATATTGTTTCGCTCCTACTTGCTGTTCCCAGACCCATCGCTACGATGGTGCACCATCCCACTTTCCTGCAAGTGATTCAATGGCGCGTCATGGAGCTCCATCGAGTTCCATCCCACCTGGCCGGCCACACGACTACCGCGTGCCACAAGCACCCGGCTACTCTGCCATTCCGAATAAAGTAAGTTGTTCTGTGCATTGTTCGCTCCCGGTCTGTTGTATTATCACTACTCTGTTGTTTTAGCTCCTTTTGGGTGTCTTTCACAGTCCTGTCACAGTCTTCCCTCACCACGGTTGTAGACGTCCTGACAACACAAGATGAAATGCACCCCTTCTCAAAGGGCTGTGCTGCAAACCACATTGCCTTCGATACGTGCCTTATGAATTTGTCCGTTATATTCTGTCTAACTGGACAGTCTGGTGCACTGATACACCCTTGAAATATTCGGTTTTATAAATTACCACTCCTTTTGTGGCAACAGAGGAAAAGTGCGAAAGTAACTTCGATACAGGCTTATTGACCTGGAAGCAGTCATGAAATCCGTTCGAAACTTCTGTCTATGGCTGAAATTACTAAGCTGAACGTCAATTTGATGTTTTAGAAAGTAATCTGAGCTTGTTGCTTAGCTGGTTAGCCTGTGGTCTGTGCCAAGGAATTTGGAAGCCATGCGAATCGGAAGCGCCATGTGGTACCGTTCAAACCGGTACGGAAAAGCATAGGAGTATACGTTATGCTTTGTTGGGTACATGTAAGCCTTTATTCGCTAAGTAGTGGTGTGTTCCACTCGACACCTAGTGCCATTACCTTGGCCTATCACGCTGATCACCGTTCTCTGGTTGATGCGACTAACCTCGTGCAGCTCCTTCTGATGGAACAGCAATAAACCCGGCCGTTGGTGATTACACTCTGTTTGTAGTCGATCCCTGTGTAACTGTTCGGACAGCTGCCTTTCATCTTAAAACGTTCCGGTAGGTCGTTAGTCCTTAACGCTCTCGTGAGCATCTCCTAGGAACTCCCGATAAATTGACTCTGTTGTGATATGCTATTAGCCTGTTAACAATATCGGATCGATTCTTGAAGTTATCGGACAACTCCAGAGGTGATGCACCGCATGGCTGAACCATGCATTGGCGCCTTGACCGTGATTGGTAATGGACATTTTAATCGGACAACTAAGTTCAACTAGCATAATAGCCTTGTTTTCACAAATCTTCTGAGTGGGTTAAAGAAAGAACAAAACTTCTTTGTTCCTATTTACACGTGCGGCATGGAAAGCCTGTTGTTAGGCTCCCTTATCTGTGTTGTAAGGACCACTTAGGCTCAGCCCTATGGTTGTTGTCAACATGAATATTTCTTCAATTCGAGCTAGAACATGGTGCCGCTGACGCTCATTAGTAACTACAATGTCGAGCAGTCTAGACTGGCGTGTTTATGTTCGCGTTTGACATGTTGGAGCATCAGACTAGTGAAGTTAGGTTATTGATGTGCGACTGTATAGCAACCATGGATCACGGGATTGCTAGACAAGCATATGCATCTGTAAGTGGGTGGGCTGTACATCATGTGATGTAATATTTGCCAATAAATTAGCTCGGGCTATCGTGTGAACTCCTCTAGAGTCAGTATTTAGCTCGTTCCGATGCTTCGTCATTACAAGTCTTGCGTTTGAGTATAAGAACACTCACATTACGGTATATTTGCCAGCATAGTGACCTGCTTTCAGTGGAAACGCAAATCTATCCATCCAAACTTTCCTGCTGTCGTTGATGATGATGATGATGAATTAGTCTTTCGTTCGGTAGTGTTAGAGATAACGGTCCTCTCCCCTCCCCCACTCACACACACACACATCCCGACCAGCTGCCTTTTTCCAAATCTGACAAGGGCCAAGCAGTAATCCACGTGTTTCTGTGCGTGAATACCGGTTACGTGGCTGTCTCAGTCGTGCGACCTTGTCCACTAGTTCCATATCTGACCAGTGTTGCCACAACTGTACGGAAAATGGTGACACCGGAATGGACGGTCTCACAAATACCTCTAACCTACCCGTCGTTGAGGGCTGTTTTTACGAAAAATTTCGATCAACTATGTTGGTTACAGTAAACTCTGGTTTCATCAGCGCCCCTCAGTACTTGCATGTATATGACTAGTTTCCTCCAAACTGTTATTCAACACCAGGTTCTTTACGATTCGATTTTTTTACTATTCGGAATCGAAGCAAGTAAAACTAACCATCAAAATGCTGTCTGCTCGTGTAAGACTTTGATTAGAGGCTGTCGCTTGTGGAAGTTTTGGATATCTCTACCTCCAGGTTACTGTGCTTCTTGTAGTATATCGAAGTATTTGTAACTCATGTGGATTTATCGGTGGTTGATCTGTTCATCGTGTACACTGTACACTGATGTTGCCCCATCATTTCCAAAAAGTTACCGTGCTCGGCAAGCAGATTAAAGGACCACCGTGCTTAGCCTGCAAAAACCGTTCTCATCACTCGTTCTTTTCAGGCATGGTATACAACGTACAGTTGTACTCAGCGAAAAAAACAGTTTGGTAGATGTTCGAGGGGTGGAGATAGTCCAGTGGTTAGGGCGCCAAATCACTGGCTGGAGGGTCCGTAGTTCGAACCCTTAATGGTGCACTGTTCATGATGACCATAAAACAAATCAGAAGATATATGCACTAATAGAAGTTTTTAGCATGGTTGACAGTGTTGGGTTGCAACACGTATAAAAATAAATACAATGCGAAATGGAAGCAAGTCGAAAGAGGGATTTACCGTCTGTGAGAGTCCCTCGGTGAAAGTCCGGACGGCGGGAACGTGTTTTCTCCGCAATATGGCTACACGTGTTCCATAGTTGTCCGTGAACTTGTGGAGAGTGGTTGACTTCCTGCTCCCTGTGCGCGAGTCTGTGTGTGCTGTGTTCGGTTTCCCTATGTGTAGATCCATTTGCGTTCGGCGAGATGGCCGAATTGGTTAGAGCGCGAATTTACTGAACGGAAGGTCCGTGGTTCGAACCCGACCTCTGCCTCTCGACTTCCCCTGTCTAGGCTTGGGCAACCTGGCAGTATCCCAGCCCTCGTGTAACCTTCGGGTGGCATGGCAGCTAGGCACCGAAAGGGTGCTACAGCTGAACGACTTGCGTGTACGTGGGCGTATCATCACTGAGTAGTTGCTACGCTCACTAGACGATACAGACAATCGACGTCTGATGAGTCACCTTAATGTGACGTGGTTGTGGGCATGAAAAAAGACAAGTCTCGTGATCCAGTGAGCGACTGTGAGCTGAACAGTCAAGTATGCGAGTGACTGGGTAGCTACACCCTAACCTCCATATCTCAACTACTGTCTAGCTGAACCATTGTTATCATCAGTCAGTTGCGCCCCGTTTTTTTGCTGGCGGATGTGGTCTGTAGGAATAGATATTCATAGGACATTCGGAAATGGCCTGCTCCGTTCAGTCGTAGATCATTTTGGTCTGTCAGTTTGAGTAATGTATTACTCCAGCACGAGCCTTCCCAACGCTCACCGAAACTCAATGTAAATCTTGTCCGTAATAAACAAGTTGTGTCACTTCCTGAGCTATCTAATTATGGTGCCATACACTAGGCACTCCTAGTCCGAACGTCTTTCCACCTCTCGATGATGCCCACGTCTAAACTGAAACCCTAATAAGTATACTGCTCTCAAGTAGTACGGCATTAACCCCGCAAAGAACCTTAAAAATAGCCAGGTTCCTAGTCTGCGCATCAGGTGCTGAGCCCTCCTTTCTGTTTCTGCGCGTCCGCGTTTGAAAATCTATTTGATTGCTACCCGTCAGGTGGTTGGCTTCATAGTGTTGGCCAGTAGTCATATTCATATTTTTTTGTTAGTTCCAGCAGATGGATTGTCTACTGATAGTTTCGCGATTCGTCGGATTTTAATACCCGCATCAATCTTGTCCGACCAGTCTACGTGTGCCGGTACGCTGCATCCACCCACGGTGCTAAATTTTGGAACGACCGGCGTATGTAGTACTGGTATTGTTCCGTCGTTTGAGCTGTGCGTTTCTCCCAGGTGCAATAAGTCAGACGCATTACGCGTGTGCTGGTCGAGTCGTGTTAGCACGCCTAGCTCACATGTCAGGTGATCGGTGCCCGGATCCAAGTATGGTCTAGAATGTACACTGCTGTCAAGTTACTTCGAGGGAGTCACCTGTGGCGTAGGCGTGTCATCAGCTTCTCTGTTAGGGGTCGAGTTTAGAATGCTGCGGTGCGCTCCATATTACTATATGGATCAGAAACCTGGCCGCTGCGCGCCGAGGACGTCAAAAGACTTTCAGTGTTTGACCATCGATGTCCTCGGAGCATTGCCCGAATCTGGTGGGAACACCGGATCAGCAATTCTGAAGTACGTCGAATGGTATTCGGGAGAAATAACTCACCCTCGATAGATGAACTGATCACACTGCACAGGTCGCGCTGGCTTGGCCACGTGCTACGTATGCCAGTTGACTGACTTCCTCGAAGGGCTCTTTGCGCACAAACACGTGAAGGGTGGGGAGAGCCAGGGCGGTCAAAACAGTGACTTGGCAGCGAAGTATGAAAGCCATTAGCAGCAAACTCAGCTCCGCCGGTCACTGCCGTCTTCCTGGATGGGGACCCCAAGACGGGCCACATCACTTGCTAGAGACATTGTCAGACGTGGCCCAGTCGCGCCCTCAATGGCGCTCATGCATCCAAGCTATATCCTTCAATGCATTGCTCCTTTTCCAACCCCCCCCCCTACTTGACAGCCCACTGACAATGCTGGAGTTATGCATCAATTTATCAGCTCCCGTCTGCAATGCGCAGCTACCCACCCCTCCTCCCCCCCCCAAATCATCGGTGAACGAAACTGCGGCAGCTACAACCACTGTACGACGAGTACGCGGTTATTACAGCTGACAATGATGATGACTTCAAGGGAGAGTTAGAACAACGAACCCTTTTATCAGTATCGCCTCGCTTTAACCACTGATTTATCTCGGAATTAGCGTACCAAGTCATCATTGCTATATGCCCTCATTTCGATGCACGTGTAGGTCACATGCGCTACGCGTACATGCATCAATTTCTAACTCAATTTCAATTTAAATGTTATTCGTTTGTTATATCATTCCTTCTCAGCCATCTGGTCGCGATGAGCCGCGTAGCGCTCCCCGTCCGTCTGCAGGCCCCGGTCGTGTGGCCAACAAGCCAGGTGCCCATCCGCAAAATGCTAGTCGTCCAATGAATGTGAAGCATGACTTCAATGATTATTTCTAGTTGTTTTTTCTTCTCCGTCTTTCTCGCCTCTTTACTAGTTCTGTATCGTTTCCATGTGTCCCCTTCTATGCTCTGGCCTTGTCCATCACCCAGTTACCTCATTGGTTGGACTCCCAAGTGTTGTTTCGTTTTTGATGTGATTGTGTACATACATCTTCGGAAACAAACAAATCACATGTGCTAACAGTTAACCCCAACCTGTCAGTGGGTTGGTAACTATACTATATTGTCCTTTGGCGTTCTCTTCTTTAAAAGTCACTGGACTTATCGGAGGCATGCATAGGCCCACGCCGTAAAATGAATCGTTGCGGAACTAGAAGTTGAGCAGCACTGCGAGATCTCGAATATCGTGCCAGCTGAAACATGAGGTGTCCTGTGTACAGTACATTCAGTTGTAGAATATCATAAACGAGAGATTCAGTTGAGTCTCTCGTGAAAACCAGATCGATTTGGAAATAAGTGTATTTCTCGAAAACAGTCTAATTTGGGTTCAAGTAGAACATACGGTTGACGGAAACTCGGGGACTGCGCCTACCTGATGGGCCCCAAGAAGGGTGAAACCGGTCATGGGCTGTTGAGGAGTTTTCAGCAACCTTGTGAGTAGTTTCCTTCATAAAAATATACTGCGAGATCTCGAATATCGTGCCAGCTGAAACATGAGGTGTCCTGTGTACAGTACATTCAGTTGTAGAATATCACAAACGAGAGATTCAGTTGAGTCTCTCGTGAAAACCAAATTGATTTGGAAATGAGTGTATTTCGTGAAAAAGTCGAGCTACCTAGACTCACCTCGTATTAACACAGGCGCATCGTCATGGTCGAAGACAAGCTTCTTTTGAGTGGGTTGTAGTTCTTAGTGCATTGCACCCGAATCGCTCGAGAAATCGGTAAATTACTGAATACCAGGCCACGCCTAATTTGGCGGTTTAATGTGACCTCGCTCAGCACTTCATTAGTAGTGTAATTTTTTACTAAATTCCGTTCCCTCTTCGGTTGACCGAAGCGTGTTTTTTGTTGACTTGAATGTAGTTTTGGCCAATTACTACCAAAAATTCAGGGAACATTTGTGATTTCATGTGGAAATTATAAGATCATCGGTTAGGTTCTTTCAATTAGTCAATATGTTTGCTGGAATCCACTGTCTGGTGTTGTGATGTACTTCGTAGAAGTTTAAACTAATAGCTCAGATTTGTGCGGTTAGTGATAATTCGTAGCCCATTTGACAACTCGGCTAAGCGAAACGATGAGCTGCTTGCCATCCGACCAGTCGGGGCAAATACATTGTATACACCCTGACTTCACCTCACTGTCAGGAATGACCTACTTGGTTGATAGCTTAGAGTAAGAATGATTTCCTAGGACGAGTGAACCCCCCTCCCTCTTCACTCAAGAAACCAGTCAACACGTGGCTGGTTCAAAGGATGAGCGGCGCTAGATCCCGTCTGAGTGCGAGATATTCACACTGCTGATCAGCTGCTCGTAACCGACCACTGAAGTATTTCAACTACCAAGCGCGGGGGTCGTGAGCTCGGAACTCTCCTTAATTTCGTGCTAAGCTTATTCTTGTGCAAACATACTTGGATTTTAACGACCCATCTCCCCATGGAAACACCTGAAAAACGTTTTTTTCAAGGACTTTAGTGTTCGAAATGGAAATGCTGTAAAGGTATTCAAAACACCTCGCTTTTGGTGGAACCGGTGACAAGTGGAGCTACCGTAGGGAGCACAGAAAGTATAACCAGCAGTCTAAAATTGAATCCATGGGCATACACATATTCCTACACTATTCAACCAAAAACAACCCTACATTCTCCGTAGAGGAAGACATTCTCATTTTCGATACTGAGAGTGCTCACTCATTAATGTTTTTCATGAGTGATAACGTTGTAATCAGAAATTGTGGACCTGTAGCACACGCAACTCAAACCAAAAGGAACGGACCTATCATTCGGCCTTTTGAATCGGTTTAATATTAGACTAGTGGATATAAAGAGCAGCACCGATGCTCTTTTTGTGGAATGGTTTGTCAAAACAATGAAACTAGCTCGTTCTAACTTGCGGCAGCCAAGGCCTATTGGTCCCGCATATCTCTTGTCAACACCGTTGTGGGAGTTTCACAGTTCACTCCGACATTCAAGTCAACTTGCCAATGGAAAAATGAACAACCTAACTGGTAAAGCAGCTGCGTTAGTGATCCTGCCGGTCAAGTTAAAACTAAAACCATTGCTGAGACAACACGGACTTCGGAAGTTGGGAGTATTGCCAGCATTACAAAAGCCCAAAAGGGAAGGAGGAACTGAAAAATTTCACAATAAGAATAAATTTCAGCTTGAACATCAAATCTATGGTGTACGATGAGACTGTACGGACTCACTGGCATCCCCGCTGAGGCGAGGCCGGGGTCAAAAGTTTCCCTGAATACTGAGGAATTTGCACATAGTTGCAGACAAATGAACAAGCAAGTTGGGCTAGGTGCATTTACCATAAAGAAAAATATTCCCGTATATAGCGAGCATCATGAACTCAAGGACGAAGCAGTGAGGTAGCATCCGCTAGAATGAGAGAAAAAGAGTGAACCAGCTTGATGAAATGCATTAGAAACGGCAAGCATGCTACTTCCTGGACCATTAGGCGGTGGTAATGGTTGCAATTCCTAGGCAATTTATCACTAAGTTTGTACGAGGTTTTGCAAAATGAGACTAGAACTGTTGCTAGACTAGTTGCCTAAAAGACATTTTGGGGTGAGAGTAATTATCAATGACGGTAGGCACTCGAATTGAGCGGATATGACCGTGCGTGGGTAAAATATAGAGGTATCACCAGTAGGAATAGTGGTGGACTAGTTGTCGCCCGTTTCTGGTGAAGTTGTTGCTTGTGGCGAACTCATCAGACACCCTCAAAGGCTCACGAATTCACAATTTGACACAAAATCAAGGTTTTGCTAAAAATTTCAAGGATAAGTTTCCTTTTGTCGTTCAGCAACTTCCGTTCATCTGAAAGGCACAGATGAATAAGGGGGCAGCACCGTCCTTCAAGTCCCCTGCCAGAGGTTCAGAGAGAAACATATGAAGTTGCTGTGTACTGGGTTTGTAGTGTCTGTAATCCGTTGTCACATTTACCATTCTCCCTGAACTTAAACCACACTTTGTAACTGTCGTTCACATTGTATCAGGACGTTTGTTTTAATGTTACGAATACAATTTTCTTGGCGCGACTTCCCTGCTTTTCGCTGAGTCAGTGAAATTGCATCCGATTGAGCTGATTGCTGTTTGCTGAAGTCGGGAGTTCAACTATCAAGAGAAGCGTCTTGTAACCAACTGACTCGAGGCAAGCAGCCATCATCATTACAGGCCATTCAGCCCATTCAGTGAGGGTTACGTCTCTCCCGCGTCCCTCTCAGTGGACTACTTGGTTGGCATATTCAATCAGTAGTCTGATGGGTCCCATAGAATAGCTGAAAGTCCTTGCCGGTAGTTCGAGGGAAGGTACCCCCAAGAATCCGAAGAGTGACTAATGTATTTCAGATTCAGTTTCTTTGGTGGAATGAGAAAAATGTTTAAAAAGGGCCGCATACCTACTTTCTTTTTCCCCCAGCTTCGTAATTTTTTTGGGTCCATTCTTACTGCGCACGATAAAGGCGTTCGTCGAGTCTCTCTTCAACGACATATGGAAGCAATTTTTGTCATCCAGAGGATAGTGACCACTGATTTGAGTCGTTGACATCGGTTTGGAAGGCAATTATTAAAAGGCGTTCGTCGAGTCTCTCTTCAACGATGTATGGAAGCATTTTTCGTCATCCAGAGGATAGTGACCACTGCTTTGAGTCGTTGACATCCGTTTGGAAGGCAATTATTGCATTGGATCTCCAGGATTTCAGGCCGCCCACAAAAAGTGGACCTAGAACTTAAGAGCACCTGAAAGGTCGGTGAAGTAGAGCAGAAACAAGAATCGTTCTAAAACGGAAACTTGTGGAACTCAAAGAAGATTAGGTCGAGCCTAGTTCGCTCGGAATGCTTTCAATATTAGGAACGCCCAACTCCAGTATAGAGCTTTTTGCTGAGATCGACAAGACTGAGCCAGTCTTGTCTCCGTTTCCTTTATGGCTCCCTATAAGTTTGCTCACTCTGGTAGTTGAGCCCCAACCAAACTGATCTGGGATGAGCGCTGTAAGATCTACCATTCAAAACGCGTAAGCAACTGAGCTTGTCCCTTCTTGGCTTGGAAACATGTCAAATTCTAGCGCAGGAATGTTTTTCTCATTGGCCTTATTCTGCCCATGGACATACAAATGGCCCGATTCTATGTCCACTTAAAAGGGCACTACCCCATCAAACTCCATGAACTATTCGTAGACCAAGATCAACTGCTATACATGTTGGCATTCAGCTTTCCCAATGTCAAACACCAAAGCTAAAACTATCCGAGGATCTACTGAACGTTTGTTATCCGTGTTTGGTTGCTCGGCGACGAACAAGACAGTTACCACCGTTGATGCTACCCAAGTATAATTACCCCCCAGGCGATACCTAGGTGTATGACGTACATTCAAAGCGCCTACGGACCTCCTGCGCCTAAGAACTCTAAGGTCAACACTTCATCCTTTTCAGGATCTACTCCACTTCGTTTGCCAGAAGTATATCTTCTAGACTGCAGCACCTGAATCAGATGTGCCGTTCAAATGACTTTTGGCTTATGTGCATATTCTAGCCTCGGAGAACGACCAAGTTATATCCGCCGAAACTACTTGCCCGTACTCTGTGTTTCCCAAGATTTCCGAAACATTTGAACTCTTGGTCAACTTTGTTCTACCAAGGGAGTCAAAATTTTTCTTACGCACTTTACAAATGCATTTTATACAATTTTTTTCATTTTTCCACATTTCTGCAACATTTGCCTGCCATTATGCTTGCGAAGGACAGGCCAAACACGCGTCAACCTTGGTTTGCTATGACGTCCTTAGTAATTCTTTGCAGAAACCTCAAGGATTGAATTCAGAGAGGAAAACCGCACAATGCTGAGGTACTTAGGGGTAGCTGTAGCGTGTACAGGCCAAACACGCGTCAACCTTGGTTTGTTATGACGTGCTTAGTAATTCTTTGCAGAAACTTTAAGGATTGAATTCAGAGAGGAAAACCGCGCGGTGCTGAGGTGCTTAGGGGTAGCGTGCGCGTGGTAATTGCGCCTAAAGTCAAACGCTGTTTCAAGGTCGAGTGGGTAGTATACGACCCAACT